GGAAAACGTGCCAGTGCGACGTAATTAAATTCAAATTGGCTATGTTTTACCGTGCTGAATTAAATGAATATTCTTATCACGTTGAAGAACAAGCGGTCCTTGCTAAATATTCATCGTGTGTACCAATAACGTGGACAATGAAGGAGAGAGGGAGAGTGAGAAAGCAAGAGGCGAGGAAGGAAAGAACGAAGGTTGGTCTTCTCGGTCTATTCGAAGGTATTCGCAACGCGATAGCGTTCATGGCTGTGGGATGGCAGCACGATACAGCTTGAATAATATAACGGAGATGACGCGCGTGGCAATCGGTTTTTATACCTTCTCCGACTTAATTTACCGGATACCTGCTGGGAAGGAAATTCGATGGATTTACTCACCATCCGAAGACATTGCTAGAGGCAGCAGGTCGCCGGCCGCTTTCAATTGATCGAATTTCTCTATCAACAACAGTAATCTGCAACACAAAATCAAACGTATTAGTTAACACGAAACGTATACGCATGACTTCAACATACTCGATTAGAATTACTAATGTAATTATATTCTTCCAAGTATAAAGCAGTTTAACATATAAAATCGTTTCGGTTAAATCGGTAGAGAGAGAGAGAGAGAGAGAAAAAAAAGTAATGTTTAATTTGTACGTATGCAAGCGGAAAGCCAAGATTTCGATTTCCCTTTTTTCACTTACTTAGCTTGCGGTACATTGTGCTTTCTCTGCAAATCCACGCGTAATCTCTCGCCAACGTGTCTGTAGATATCCGCTAATGTGTTCAAAGCAGTTTCTCGCACTTTTTCAGATGGATCTGATAATAATTTTACGATACTTGGAATCACTCCTGACAACATCATTTCATCAGCGCCGTGTCTGTAAAAAAAATTCATTAGTATAACCGGATGTTTTAACGATGTTTTTAGCTACTTTTTTTTTCCTTTTTTATTTTTATTTTTTTTTTCTTTTTTGTAATTTTAGTAATTTTCCACGGATCCTTACTCGTTCAACGTTGTTGTTAACAAAATAAGAGCTTCTTCCCGTAATTTTGCATTCTTATGATTAAAGGCCGGCCGCAGTCTATCCAAAAGTTGTTGAGGAGTCATACATCCTTTTTCTATTATTTTAAGAAGCACTAGCTGCGCTTTTTCTCGTGTCGCATCTTTGCTGTCACCTATTAAAGCAACACGTCATCGATATCTGTATATTAATTGTACCACTCGTTATAAATAAAGGAAACAAAACTTGTAGGGACCGGTTCTATATTTATAACTCTGTCATAATATCTCGTCTCGTAATATGCGGTTGAACTTCCGTGCCTATTTCATCTGGAGCTCATCTACTCACGATAAACGATTCAAAAAAATATAAAACGAAATCATAAGAAAATAAATTGTCATGATAAAACAAATTAAATTTACCACTATAATTATACATTTATTGGCTATCGATTTCATTTAATTCCACGAAATAATTACTCGTTGAATAAATTTCAAAGAGAGAGAATAAATTAAAATTTATTAGAAATAATTTATGAATACCGAAAGACAAACAGGTACAAGAAAGTTGGCGACACTTACCCAGTCGATCTATTGTTGGTTGAATAATAGTGGAAATATAAGGTTTGAAGTCGTGACCCATTCGATCCGCTAGAAACGTGAGGATTTCTAAACCATTCTGGACGACCTGGAACAACAGAATCAAGAATCGGTTAGATCTATATATCGACGATTATAGAGGAACGATTGTCCCCTTTCGTTTATACAGAAATCGTTCTAAATCTTCTACGGCTTTCTAGCCGTACCTACCAAGGCAATCGGGGTTTGCTGGGTAATTTACTGAACATAGAAGACGTTTATACGCGCTGCTGTGACGAGAGATTAATTAAAGGCTCGGGGAAAAAAAATGTGTACACGGAAAACCAGTTTGTCGAATAACGTCACGAATATCGAACACGAGCTCGATATATCATATATCGATGTATATGATTGCAAATCAAAAAAATTTATAAAAAGATTTAGCGTTTTTCGTATTATTAAAAAAAAAAAAAAAAAACATATTTTGAAATCAAGATCTCCCATATTTAAAAGGTTTAAAATTCCTTGCATCGCGTCAATGTCGTCAGAAGGGTCCAGGGTATATTGATCCAGGCAAGATAAACTCTGCTTCCCTGAAAGCTAAAAAATCGTAGACCCCCTCGTTTTCCCTCTTGTCGTAATTATACTTCGTCTGCGAATCCTCTACATGCACTCGTAATGATTACTTCACGGTATTTTCTTTCCTTCTTTTTTCTCCTTCCCCCCCCCCCTTTTTTTCTTTACCTCTGCGCTTTCATCATAAAAAACATAATTGCGGAGATTTGAACGAATTACACACATTCCGGTTTTGTGGTTACGCGCAAAATCAATAAGAATTTTTCGCGCGTACAGTTCGGTGGTGAAATTTAATAATTTAATTGTAAAACATACACGTCATTGATTCTTAATTAAAAGATTTATAATTCTTTTTTGAGAAATCTATCAGTTATCTTTTTCATCTAGGAAGTGAGAGTAACATCACGTACCGTTTCGAATACTAAGTTCAAAATATACATTCAATCTCATAAAAATATCTCCTATCTAATTAAGAAACGAAAAATATATAATATATTCGATAATATAATATAATATAATATAATAAAATATATAATATGATCGAACGGCAAAGAGAAATGAAACGTTGTAAAAATACTACTAATCCGAGGGAAATATTGAAGATTGAAAGATGAAGCTGGGATTTGAGGGTGAACGAACTGCTCCTCCGGGAGGAGGACGAGCAGATCAATATAGAAAGTGCAAGTGTAGCTAGCGTTCGGTGCATTTATCGCGGTGGAACCCCTCAAAGTAAACCCCGGTTGTGGTTGCTTTGCGACGAGAGGGAAGAAAAATGAATATTCCTCCGTGGGCAGCATGGCCGTTCGATCCCAATCGGCATTGGCAATACTCCTCCTCGGCCGAACTCGTGCCTCAAGTGCACACGGCAAATCCAATGTCACTGTCTGCAAAAGCGTCCATTACTCGGCGACAGTTTAAATACATTTAACGAAGCGCTATACATAGGCATATAAACCTATTTTAGTGTCGCGGGGTAAACGTTCTCTCAGGGCTGTCGTCTGGCTGTGACATCATTGCTCAGCACCGAGACTTTTCGTTTCTCTTTCTGTCTTAACTTTCATATAATTAGCACACGGTTTAATCGTTAACAGCCTAGCGAAACGCACCCGCTCGAACGTGTTTAATCTCTCACGATAGAGATATCTTAAAGCTATACCAAATACGTGTGTATATATATATATATATATATATATATATATATATATA